TAATATGGCCCAGCCCTAACGCCGAGCAATAATCCAGTAACTCAGGTGTTCTTGCTCAAGTGCTGCAGATGGAACAGAGAAGAGGAGGAAGACCATCTTGGACTTGATGATCATCATCAGCTGGATGTGTCTGACCTCAGATCTACAGAAAATAAACTGCTTAAATAAGTGAAAGGGACACTTTAAAAGAAACAAACGTCAGATCTCAGATGTAAAACAAAATCCTTATCCTGGATAGCTGTACTGATATTACCTGGGTAATGTGTTGGGAAAGAAAAGAAGCCACATCGTTTGATAGACAGAAAAATGACCAACCCTCCCGATATGCCTGATGGGGATTTTTCGTTTTTATGGGCCAATGTTTTTCTTTTTTGGTTCGTTTTTGTAACGGTATAAACAATGAAAGGGGGTGGATTGGCCAACTGGTCATGATCGACTCTGGGCTGGACTAATTACAGCCGAGGAGGTCAGCTGCGCCCTCCCTCTGAAAGCAGTCTTATTACCGAATATTACTGAGGTGAAAAGGAAGCGATTTGTCCTGGACTTCAGCTAGAATGAAACAAAGACACAAAGCTGGACTTATTCCTCCCACTCCTGTTGCTACTTCAATCATGAAACTGATCAAATTGGCTTTGCTGTTGCAAGTCCCCTCTCTCTTGTTTGTTTATTGCCCATAAAGATTTTGACTCAGTCTGCACTCCAGATGGGTTAATTGTTAATCGCGTTAGTCGTGATGACTGTGCATTAACGCTGACAGCACTAAAAAAAATATAAAGTCGGGATGAAAGAGGTAAATTTGGGATGAAAGAGGTAAACCTAAGGATGTAACCAAAGCGGTGTGCCACTTGTGCAGACGTGAAGTGCGAGCAGAGTACTCAAACACGACTAACTTGTATGAGCATGTCCGTGTCCACCGTCCGGCTGAGTATGCGGCTATCACCAGCTTCTGCAGCTCCATCATTTGGGCATACTCTGAGGAGGGGGCATTTGCTCTCAGATGAAAGAGAGTGCTGTTAAAACAGCGGTATTAATTTTTATTTTCCTGTAATACCCGGTGGGCCGGTCTCTAGTCAAAATGCCTGGGCTGATTTTTTTTTTTTTTT